ACAGAAAACTGTTCTTCTTGGGATCATGCCTTTTTCCATAGTTTACGTTTTTTATTTGTTTTTTTTATAAACCTTATTGTATTGCATATTTTTGTGTTCTATGGAAGTTAATAAATGCCTTAAAAGAGAAAAAAAAAAAAGAAAAGAAAGAAAGAAAAAGAAAAAAGAACTATTTATATATTACATAGGTGTGACTCCCAGAGGGGGACCGGAGGGGGCCCCGCTGAGTAGATATACCACCCCCTCCCGCAAGTCGTCGTGGAGAAAAACAATGTATATAGGCCTATGTAGACTCTAAAATCGATTAATAAGCATTTTGAATCCCCTTAATTGTCATTTCTCCCCTGGAACACTTTCTTTTCGTCGAGGATCGACCACACGCAGAAACATTAGACCTCTCCCCGCCGCTCCCGTCGTGCAAATCCTGGCGCCACTCCTGATACCTATTATATTGATTAAATATTTTTCTGAGTCTAACATTAATTTTAGCTTTTTATTTTGGTTGTTATAATGTACGGTATCTAATCATGTTATGGAAAAATAGTATGCCTACTTGTTATACAGACCTGCATGAACAAAATGTAAATCCTAGATTCACAAACATGAAAAAGTCACACAATTTGTAAATATTTGATTTGATATGTGAATTTTGTGATATGCAAAATTAATAAACTAAAACATTACCTAGTAAAATCAGGCCTGGCGCAGTATTTAGATAATGTTTATATTAATAATTAAATAAGTGTAAACGGTATATTTATTTATCGGACCTAGGCCTAATCTATATATAATTGTTGATTTATAATGATTATTCGAATTTTCCTCAGGGGACGCCTATAATTACAGTTAAGCTAAAAAGAAAAAAAAATATTAGATTTAACGCATTATTTGTACAGGGCTAACATTAGTACAATTTTGCTTTTTATTCAATTAAGACAGACAGAAAGAAATTAAATTTGTTAGACAAATTATGTTTAAAATATTTTAAATTCAATTGGCTTTGGTAATGTTTGGATTTCTCAATCTGTCCTTAGTAAAAAATATAATTTATTTAAAATCTTAGATTATGCCTAAAAGAAATTTAGAACGTTACATTTTTATTGAAAACATATATTCTTTCACAAGACAATATTTTTCCTCATTAAAAAATAACATTAATTGCGTTATTTATCTTTAGTTATTGGTTAAAAAAAAAAACCTGAATTATAAATTACGATTAGGGATTCTTAACCTTAAAATTGAAAAAGGAAGGTGGTAAACACACAAAAAGAATAACTAATCTCTAAGTTATACAATTTATCAAAATTTCGTAAGACGAATTTCATATTATTTTGTCCGCTTTATAACAACTTAAGAACCTTTAATACAAAATATTATTTACGGCATCCCGCATCCTAATGTTTTTAAGTTCAAGCAAATGTCCAAAAAAGCGACCACTTTTATTTAAATTAATTAATTTTGTAAAATTAGCCTATAAAAAAAGAAACAATAATTTCAATTTGCAGTAAATTTATGTTTTTGTGTTCTTGGGCCAATGGCCTTTATATTCTGGATAAACTCCCGTTTGGGGACTAAATTACTGAACTACAATAAATGTGGAATTAATTTTAAATAAGGCAAATTGATTAAGTTACTGTTTTAGATACAGAAAATAATAAATTAAAATCAAAATTTCTGCACTAACATATCGTTTTTGGTTTTTTTTTTATTTACTTTGGCATAGTGTTTTATTGGCAATAACGACCGAAACACTGAAAAAGAAAACCTCTTTACAACAATGGTTACAACCAATGGCATACGAATCAATCCCAAAAAAAAGCACGGAGCTGTTACACTTCGATTCGAAGTTCTCGTCTGTTAATTATAATGAGTAGGTAAAATCATATTATTATGAATTATTGTAAATATCATTAAACATTTTACTCGAAAAAAAAGTTCATTTGCGTTGGTGTACGAATGTAATGAATTAATCATTATTAACTATAATAATAATTATTATTATTAATCATTATGATTATGATTAATGACTATTAATTATTTTTCTATTTATTTTGTATTGACTGCTGTTTTAATTATTTCCCTTTGATTTGTAAATAAAATCAAGCATCTTGTGTTGCTTTGCGTTTTATTTGTATAAATATATATCTTAATATATATATATAATAAATATATATGTACAATAATGAGACCTCTGTTTATATTTGTCCATTTTGTGTTTAAATTTTTCCTGTAATCGGATATTCCAGTTAGAAAAGTGATTAAGTTCGGCATATTCATAACATTTGGCCTAAACAATTAAGGGAATAATAGATGAGCCAATTTCAGAGTTTAATATAAATGTAATTCTAATTTAATTTGGTATGTGTGCTTAATTAATAATTCATGGTTTATTTTTTTCAGGTAATGGCTAGTGAAAGGCACGGATGCCAGGTTTGATGTCCAGCAAACAAAAACACAAGAGTATGCCAATAAACGTTGACCTGAGCATCATAACACATTTATTACTGCATTAAATGATTCACTGTTTAATAATTCATACTAAATTATTTATATAAATTATTGTTATAGCAATCTACTATAACTGAGCTATATCATGTGATTCATTCATTCTTATATACTTGTACTTCCACATACAATTCTAGCCCGCTTAGTACGGCTGACGGCTGACAGCACGTTCCCCTACGTTCAATAATGAATATGTGACTACCTTTACGGTCAAATAATGGATCACATACCTCGTACTACGTCAATAGAAACAAAACATATTATTTAGCATTGGGTTTCATCAGACAATTCCAAAGGAAATAGTCGCTCCTTATCATTATATAGGCCTAGTCTTATACAATATCACTCATCTCTCGTTTCATTTTTAATTATTATTTATTTCCCATCATATTCTACGAAAACTATATAAACAGCTTTTAAACGACCACACGTTGCCTTGCATACAACCCCTGTCCAAAATATATCCTGTTTATATGCTTATAAGAATTGTAACCTGATTGTCGTTCCTAAAATTCACCAAAAATGAAAAGATTTCAGTAGCTGTAACTATCCCTAATATTCAAATGTGTATGCTTCATTTTCCTCAGCCTATAATAACTACTAACTAAATAGGTTTCTCACTCTATTAGTTGAAATTCGATGTTATTCTATTTGGGGTAACGAATGTGCCCGACTTGTTTTAATACTTAAAATTATAATGCGATGTGTCAAAAACAATAATTAATGAAATTATTAAAAATCACTTTTCCAATTAATCACATTCATTTCTTCCATTAAATGCATAGAGTTAAAAGCATACACTGTTCATCGATTTATGTAACGTGTAATTTGTAATATTAATTTTTTTTTTGTTATTGTTTTGTTGACAATCTAGATGAAGGTGATGTTGGTGGTGATAATGATGATGATGATGATGATGATGATGATAGAGATAATAATACTGATCGTGGTGTTGGTGATAATGATGGAGATAATAATGATGATGCTGGAGGTGGCCTGGTGGTGGTGGTGGTGGTGATGATGATGATGATAATAATAATAATAATAATGGATAACTGATGGCGATGATGGTGATAATGATTGATGGCGATGATGGTGATAATGATTGATGGCGATGATGGTGGTGATACGGAAATGACATCGTATACAAAATACAGACAGACTAATGGTTATAATTAATCAATCAATTAATTAAATTATTTCGGAATTTCCTCCATAACAAATACAAAAATGGAAAAGATAAATAATAATACAGACTGTAGGCAGTTATAAAACCTGCTCAATACAAAAGTGTATTCCACTTGGAAAACATAGTCGAGTAATATAATACTGTGACTTGACAACACCTTTAACCAGGCTGTTTTCAGAAGCATATATCCTTTTCATAAAAGAATAAACTGATTTTCTTACATATTCGTAAAATGAAAGTAGCCCGCACTTAACAAACATTGCACTTGCACTGCTTGCCCTGGGCTTACCAAGCAATAACCTTAAAGCATTGTTATAGTAAACTCTTAACGAATTTATCGACTTACTCTCATAGTCAGACCATACATTTACACAATAAAAATTCATACAAAAACTTCTAAACAACGTGCACTTTACACTATCCGTACACCTATAGAAACGCCTCTTCAGATAGTTGGCGCGCATACATAGTGACCAACTGTTCCCCACCTACAGTAGTGACAGGGTCACCGCTCAACTTTCTTACACATACATAATCATGTACTATTATTAATATTAAGCCATATTACCGAATGTGGATTTATGAATTTAGTTTTTATAATGGCATAAAGATTTAGATTTTCTTCAGATAATCATAAATGTTTTCTTGTCTATACGTAAACCTCTATTAATAATTTTCAAAAATAATCAAACAGTCATTGGCAGAACAAACTATTCCCAGGTAATCATAAATGTTTTCTTGTCTATACGTAAACCTCTATTATCCATCAAAGATAATTTTCAAAAATAATCAAACAGTCATTGGCAGAACAAACTATGTATCGAGTATCTATCTTTAAAAAATAATAATACTAATCAAAAATAAATCAAAAGTTAGGGAAAAAAAACCAGAGTTGTTTGACAAGTAATTCCAACATGCGGGAATCTAGCCACATATTCTCTTACTTAACAATAGTTATAATCTCTGTAGTCTATGTCTAAGTGGACGAAAGCTAGAGAATAATATATATTGTTAGTCTCAAGAGTGATGCTGTCGTTTCTTATATTTTGTTCTATAAGCTGACTAACGCGGCCACACTTTTTATTTTACACAAGAAATACGTCTTCGGTCTTACCGTAAATGTTCGAATAAGCGCCTATCTATCTCAATAGACAGTCAATCCCACGGGCTTCAAGCGTGGTTGAGTGATTTAAACAATAGAGGGTTTAGGGGGTTTTTAAAGTTTTTTTTTTTTTTTTTTTTTCCTTGAAGGGGAAGTTATTTAATTGTATTAGTTTACTTACACGTGTATTGTTCAGCTTTCCTTGACGTATAATATTAGTAAAGCGTGACAGCCGCTGCTACGGTCTAATTGCTGTTATATCAAATAGCTCCCATACAGTGTGACATTTTGTAGTCTTGCTGAATTGGAAGGCCGAATATGGGTGTACAGTACATAGACTTCAGTCGTCGCAACAAATATCTTGGCCAAATCAACTAAAATGTTTGATAAACTCATAACTTTGACGCTCGTGGTATTATCTATGAGGTACTGCATAGTTTTTTATTTGAAAATCTGTTAATAGGAAGTTAATAAAACTAGTTCGACATATGGTTAGGCCTCAATTTAAGTACGTACCAGATACAGGTTGTGTATTTGCTCCTCCACTGCACAATCAGCTTACTTGTTATAATGTACTGAACCGTTTAGAATGGACTTTATAGAATAGAAGTTAAACCTTAAATGCGAAAATACGTTTTTCTCAAAGCATGTTCAACTGTTATTAAAACAGTATTTGTATACAAATGCTCTTAATGTTATGTTGTACAATGAGGTTTAGTGTGCAAGAGAATTAGCCTGCAACAATTATTTAACTCAAACAGATCTGTCAAGGCCCAAAGTTGTCTGGAAACGCCATGTTACAATGGAGGTGAGTGTGTTGACGCGATGTGCGTGTGTCCATTAGGATTCCACAAACCATTATGTCAAGGTAGGTATATGATGTGATTGCATTTTATGCAACGCTATTAGCAAAGAAAGCTGAAAATCGTTAATAGTTTGTGTTTTAATGTCACTAGTTTTTTAATGTACAATAAAATTTAATAGTCTTTTTTACTGGGTAAATTCCAGTTGCTGACACAATACGGAAAAACACTACAACAAAACATTGGGCAATCTGGATCATGCAATGCGGCCCTTTGTTGTATAAAAAGAAGTCCAGAACGCCTACTGTTTTTATTGTGGCGCTTTAGAATTTTTGTTCCGTATTTACGTTAACGGTTAAATATTATTTTTAGTAGAATGGAGAGGATTCCGAAATTGACTAATTTATGAATTTAAAGATAAGTGTTCCATTTATTAAGAAACATAAACGTATAAAAAGATTTCACACGAGTCTTAATTAATGTTCATCAATTTTCTCAAACCTGCCCTATGATATTTGCTGTATCAATATGTATAAAC